CTCAGATACTGTATCACAAATACCGGCGTTTACTTAAACCCTGCACCAATGGAGCATTTTTAAAGATAAATAGCACATATTAGTGTATTTTTTTCTGTTTTAAAATGTTTCAGATGCTCACAAAAACCAACAAGACATTTAAAAAAATCTAAGAATGCTATAAATGAACAAAAAATAAAACCAACTGCTGACATTTACTGTATAACAACAAACTGTGCATATAGCAATGTTTTTCTTAAGAAGAATCCCGATTTCTCTCTTTCTCCTCTTTCAAAGCTTTTCAAACTTGGCTTGGGCACATCTTCTAAGCCTGGCATTATTCATCATAGACGGATGCCACAGTACTACTGTATAATGCCACGGTATCCCCCACCTCACTGGCACTCCACTGATAACACACACACAAGACCACTGTGGACCTTGGATTGCTGGGCTTGTTGGTATTTTCTTTTTTTTTTACTTTCACAGGCCCAAAACCTTCTAATCCAGTTCTTACAGTTCCCAAGCCGCAAGCCAACAGCTTTATTCCAATATCCACTTCATAAATCACTCTAATGGTTTACACAATCACACAAAGAAATAAAAATGCAGTTGTAATATCCATTAATTACTTGTAAATAAATCTTCAATAAATAAAATATACACATAATTACAGGGAACAAAAGAAAAAAGTATAATAAATCAGACATGTATTGTGATACTAAAACACAACTCCCTACACCGTTCTGTCATCTTTGAAATATTAAGTGCACAATAATCATAAATAGCTGTAACGTGTCAGAAAATTCCAGAATCCACATTGTTTGTATGATTTAACCGAATGGCCAACAACACTCAACGTGCTTTGTTACTGTATCAATGAGAGCCCGGCTGGAAGACTTTTAGGACCACTCCGAGTCTAACTGTTGACACGATCCTACTTTCAAAAAAGAAAGGAGGTAAAAATAAGGTTGACATTGAACAATGCAATTGTTTATGCAAAAACTAAACAGTGGTTTGAAATCCTAAAATGAAGGACTGTTGCCAAACCAAACTAACTAAACCTCCTGAGCTACTACAATAGGCCCAATCTCAAACACAAAGGCGTCTGGGATCTGTCATATAAACAGTCACCAGACATCCTGAACTGTTAAAAAAAGGTAAAACGTGGTATACAACTGATGAGAAACGATTAGATGTAATCATAATGTACACAACACAAATGAAGACAATTATTGCATGACTCGGTCAGTCTTGCACCTGTAGATATGGCTAAACTTTCTTCTTCTTATTTTTAACTCTATTATTATTTTCTTCTTGCACATTTTAAATCAGATTTAAAATATTATTTTTTTTATTAAATGTTTAACTATAGGCCTTATTTATTTTAATAATTTGGAATAGTAGTTAATACAGCATCAATTCTGCCACTACAATATATGAAACATTATAGCATAATATTTAGTGTGCATTCCTTTTGCTCTTTCTCCATGTCTTTGTTTGATTAAAAAAATTGACGTAAAATGTTAATTGTAGGGTACTAAAAAAACCTTCAATTGACTTTCAGTTGAACTATGATGTAACTTCTCAAGTCAGGCAATGCACTAAAATACATAAACAGTTTATAGTGCTCTCTCTCAATAAAAGGAAATGGAAGCCAATTATTACACCCAGTCCTGTGTATCTGAAAAAAAAAAGTACGAGTTCATTCATTTTGTGAGGAAGAGGTGTGTATGTGTGTGACTGGATGTGATACTCTGGCTCTCAGTACAGCTATAGTCCTGCAGTGCTTGCTGCCCAGATTTCATGACTTGTTTATCCACCTTTGGAAGGGAAAAGCTGGACTGGAATCACAGAGTACTGGTTTGCTTTAAAAATGTCACAAAAGCGATTTAGATGCCAAATAAATTGAGGTCTGGCTAATAGTTGGAGCCAGAATGATATATTGTCATTTTGATGTATGATGACTTGTGATTAGTTTGGATTTGTTTCATTCAGTAAGTGATGTGTCAGTAATGTGTCAGAGATTTTTAGGGTTCTCTTTTTTTTTCCAGAAGGTGAGGAGAGGATGACAAACACGTAGGCCTATAATAAATTAATCAAGTTTGCTCAAAAGTAGCATATCAAGTAAAGTATGAATCATACAATCAAACAGAACAGGTTTTTGTATTCCACTGCGCCGCTTTTCATTGTTTCTGTATGTATATACGCACCGAGATGGACGTTTTTAAATGTTGTGCTTGTCTTTTGCATGACCTTCTAATTATTTTTGCCATTCCACTGTTCACATCCAGTGTTTTTCATGAGTGCCACATAAAAAAAAAAATAAAATAAATAAAAAAAAAATATATATATATATATATATTTTTTTTTTATTTGTTTATTTTTTTTCCCCCAATAATCAACAATGTGGCTTTGCCTTTGGATACTATTGTGCAGTATCCTGGTTTTTAGAAAGCAAAAACACATTGTGATCGTCCCCTTACGCCTGTCACTCCGAAGTCAAACATATGTTGTCAAACTGGACAGATAGTGAAACTAAAGTGCTTCTTTTCATCTGGAGAGAAGAAAAAGTAAACAGCACAGCATTTAAAGGAACAACTCACAGAAAATTGAATATTTGCTGAAAACTTACTCTCAGGCCATCCAAGTTGTAGATGAGTTTGTTTCTTCATTGGAAAAGTTTAGCATAAATGTAGCATTATATCATTTGCTCACCAATGGATGCAGTGCCATCAGAATAAGAGTTCAAACAGCTGATAAAAACATCACAATAATCCACAGGTAATCTACAGGACTCCAGTCCATCAATTAATGTATTGTGACGTGAAAACAAATTCTCATTCAGTGTCTCATTTTGACGGCACCCATTCACTACAGAGGATCCATTGGCGAGCAAGTGATGTAATGCTGAATTTGTCAACAAATTTATCACTGATACTGCAGTTTTATGCTGTTTTGGTGCTTTTGTGTGAATGATAGCCTTAAAGATAAAAATACAGAAATCAGCTGCTTGTATGAACAACACAGCAGACATGATATATTTACCAGAAAAATCTGGCAATCCAGCAATTTTACTGTAATTTACAAACTTTGGTGTATAAAAGCGGCTATATTCCATTCAAAGATACAAAAGAAAACAACAAATATAGTATGTATTAGAAGCATCCAGACAGAGTCATTTCTCTGACTTCTTATTAGGAGTAAATAAATGCTTATAGGAACTATTGAGGGCTAGTTTAACATTAATAGATAATGACAGCAGACTTGGGTGATGTCCTGAGATCATACTGACATTTCCCACCATTACGGTCAAGGATTGAGACTAGCGGACCTAATTTAGACCTTAAAATATGGCTTCCGCCCAGAGTGTCAAGAAAAACCTAATATCTTCCACTGTCCTCTCTTGGGAAGCACGGTGCAGGGCGTTTCATATGACCTCAGTGGTAAAACGACATGATGTCACTTGGTTGGATTTAAGACACAATGCGCTTCACTGTTTGGATGTTGCCTTTCCCATGAGCATCCTTATTATACACAATATTAATCGACTGAAGAACAGACTGATGTTGAACAGCCATAATCAAATCCACTGCGAAAGGCAGCACAGCGCACTGTGCATTTGTAATGCAATGTAGCTGATTGATTAAAAATGTTTTTTTGTTCTCTGCTGGAATTGCTAACTATAGACTCATTAAACATCCCATGAGTGATTGTTAAACAGATTTCCTGATGCTCTATTTACAGCGGCAGCACCACATAAAGCCGTTTTTCCCACAAGTTCTATCTCACAGCCACACGGATGCACTGTAAAGGTCTTCGGACACCCGCTACACAGATCTCTGCGGATGAAAACTCAGATGCTCACAGCACTAATCACTAAGTGACCGTTCCCAGCAGCCGAAGGAGGGGGGTCAAGCACAGGGCAAATGGGCATGGGAAAAATGCAACAATTATATCATTTCCTGCTCTGCCTTCACTATGAAAAAATGGAGAGCGTTTACTGCTGTGTGGAGACATCGAGTTGAGTGAGACTGCTGTGTGTGAGGCTTTTGACGGTTTTGTTGAAAGTTTGTCATTTTGAGCTCTTCCTCCGAACAGCAGAAAGAATATTCTGTCGAAGGAGTCTCAATCCAGCCACTGTTATTTGTTTGAAAGTATTTTAAAACACATGTTTATTATATTATTTTTTTTATCATAATTATTTTTAAAATTTCAATTTAAAGTATTATTTTACTATTTTTTAATATATTATTATTTAATAGCATGAATTCTGCCACTATAATAAACATTAAATCACAGTATGTAGTATATGTTAATTTTCTCTCCACACCTTTAATTATAAATATTACAAAGTTCAATTCTAAACCAATGAACAGTGAACATTTTTTTTTCTATCTTTAAAATACCTGTATATTATAATGTATATTAGAATGATTTAACCTTTGCACAGTTGAGGTACAATGTTTACACTTCAGAACATTTTTGACACTTTGACAGATTAATTTAAGATTATAAATTAATTTAATCAGAATTTGGTTTTATCATATGTAAATAAAAAAAAATAATCTAAAAATTATTAATCTAAAAATATTATAATATACAATAAAAACAAATTGATCTAAATTTGTTTTTATTGTTTTAGAATTTAATAGAATCAATCATCAAACATCATCATATAAGCTCACAATGCATATTTAAAATGATTTTTTAAGTGTTTTTTAAATGATTTGGTTAAGCAGCATATAATTTTCTGAATGGGTGATCTACAATGTTTTTAAAACTTCTAAATCATACTAATGAATAATACAAAATATTGATAATAATATATAGCAATAGCAAAGAACATGTTGCATTGCCAGGTCTGTATTGTCTGGAATACGTTTTGTTCCAGCACACCTGCCTATGATTTTCAAGACTTTGATTAGCTGCTTCAGGTGTGTTTGATTAGAGTTGGACCTAAACTCTGCAGGAAGGTAGATCTCAGGAACAAGCCTGGTTTAAACAATTCAAGTCCTTAATCGAAAAGGTCTGTGGAATGTTTGGATAATGAACTCTTGAAAAGGGTGTAATTGCTGTCAGGTGTTTTCAGTCAGTTCAGGTGTGGCACCCCACCATAAACAAAACTGCACAATATTAATTACCTGCTGTTCAAAAGAAATACGGGCTTATGAAAAATATTTCAAAGGAGCTGAGAAGACATTTTGGATTGAAAGATTTGGGCCTTCATCAGTCTGCTGTTGTATATCTCACCAGAAGCAAATACTTTGAAAGGTCAGTGAGTGGGTATGCCTTAAAATCCTAAAACAAGTCACATAAATACTAACAACTAAGGATGTGTAGTAGTGTTTTGATTTTGTTGCTACCTGAGTTAGCCAAGCCCTAACACTAAAATTACTGTATATGTAAACCCAAACCGTTCTGAATTGATGAAACTATCCCACAACTTCTCAGCAGATTTGCTTACCATTTATAGGAAGTTTCCAGTCACTCATACAAAAGGTTGATTGTTGAAACCATTTGAGCAACAAAGATGGCACTGTAACATATTGTGGGTTTTCATGTCTGTGGTTCCTTGAATTATATGGTTTGACTTATTTCTAATCAGATGAAGATAAAGCTTTTATAAGAAAATCAGAAAAAAGAAAAGTAGAAATCCACAATTTCAGAGAGTTAATGAGCGTACATATATTTGAATGTTTTTGAAAGTCTCTTAGCTCATAAAGGCAAAATGAGTGTGTGCACATCCACTGCTTTCCGGATTTTTTCCATTGCGCCAATCATTTGCTGTCTCTTATCAATTGCTAATTCGCTTACTCATGGACATTATTTAGTTAACAAGTCACAATACTGAAATTAAGACATTCCATGCAAACCACAGTTTAGCACAGACAGGACTGCATCTTATTTTTTTGTAAACCGTAACCAGAAATCTATTATACAAGCTGAAGTAAAAGTCAGGCCTCCTAAAATCAAAACTAAAGGAACAATTATCTGGCCATTTCTAGAGGCATTAATAGACACTCAAATGTCTTGATGGGGAAAGCCAGTGAACCAGTACACTTTCAGCTCAAACCGTAAGCCAAAAGGTGTTGCTGTAAAAGCTTGAGGTAATGACAGACTGGCTTGACGTTTACATCAATGTCTTTTTAAACGTCCCATAATTCACCCCCACTAACTTTTATATTCAGTATTTCCATGTCATATGTTTGTTACCTATGAGTCAGGAGGGCAGAGTCGGTGAGCTATTTGAATAAAGTGTTTGGATACCACTATGAAAGCATTTATTTAATTTGGCTCAAACTGAGGTAAAATTACCCCCCCCCCGATGTCAGACCCATTGTGCTCGCAAACTCTATTAATTCTGTTGCTATGAAACCCAGAAGAATCTAACGAAGCGTCTGAAAAGAGATTTATACTGTGAAAAGAAAGTTACTAAAAGGCCCGTATTGTAAACATGTCACAGTTTGGTTTGACTTTAAAAAGACCAGTGTGAATACGGTGATCATATAGAAATAATGCATCAAGGGAGTTTTTCTTAATAAATAATGGCCACTGTGCGGGCTCCTTATTACTCCGGGCTTTGTTTTGTCCCTCATATATGCTTATAAAAGCTGTGTCCAATGGGCAGAAAAGTTTCTGTTTCAGAACCGTGTAGCGCTCTGACGACAAGGCAGCACACTATCCTCAAACAGCTCTTCTCTTTCTCTTCTGTGGGCTAGTTTGAGAGAGGACAAGTGGGTTTTTCTTATCCCCTTCCTCCCTTGGCCTTCTTAGTCTTTTCAATGTCACACAAAAGCTGTGATAATCAAGGCCCAATTTCCCTCTCTTTCTCAATGAGTTTGGTCTGAATTTATTACGATGCCAGAGACTTACTCTTTGATGTCATTAAATCCATGAGGGAGTTCATTTTCTCTCAAAGCACTTTATCAAAGCACTTCAGATGCGTCCTCAAGCTTTCTCGCGCAGAAACGCTCTACCAGAGGGCTATTCACCACAGATGCAGTGTGTACTTCCTACGAGCCCTTTAAGAATGAGCTGCTGTAATGCTCAGTCACTTTATAACCTAGAGAAGCAGCAAAGGGTCAAAGGTCAGATCTCATTCTCTCAATCTCTCTCTCTTTTCCCCCTACTTTTTCTAAGGCTGAGTTCACTCTGCACGATTTTAGCCCCGATTTTCACTCGCCCACAGGTTTTGCGAAATCGCCTGAAATCGGAGGCAAATCGGTGCTCATTCACGCAGTGTGAATTATCAAAGATGCGATCTGAGAGAATGTATCCGTCGGCTGTGTGAAATGAGTTCTGACTGAAAAATACATTGGCGATGACCTACAGCCAATGAGAGAGCTTATGAGAGGAGTTATAGACCACAATATCAGCAAGCATGGCTTCGGTTCCGAGAAAGGCTCCTTCTCTGTCTATTTGGACCCGAGAAATGGAGGACAGTTTAGTCGACCATTTGTATTTTAATAACATTTCCAGTCTCGCGCGAGAACTCTTATCTCACGTGTGATCTTGCGTTATTTCCTTGTCACTTCTTGTGTGCATTTGGTTGTAAAATGTAGTTTGCGGACCAGACAGCGTTGTCGGCGATTCTTCCTATTGTAAAGTCATGCAGTGTGTAACCTCCTGTCGCCGATCCATTGTGCAATGAGAACACAGCAGTAACTGAATGCTACCCCAGATACTTGTGCAGTGTGATCTGATGACTTTGAAAATCGTGCAGTGTGAATTCGGCATAAGTTACAAAAATCCCTTTGCTGTTTAAGGCTTTTTGGTTGAATTTGCTACAATTCTAGTGAAAGCATTTGTTCTTTACTGGATTAATAAAAATTGTTTAAATAATATAAGAACTGTCTGAATATGCACATTTTATTAGTATGCTAAAAATATTACAAATAAGACCACACACACACACACACATATATATATATACATATATATTAAGAACAAAACTTTTTTTCCCAGTTTTTATTAAGTGATCATTTTATTGAGCATGGAGTAAACACCGTGTAATTTCTCTTCAGGTCTGAGTTTAAGTAGGAAAAAAAAGTTTTCTACAAAGCTCTGAATTATGATACCTAACCTGCAAGGAGTTTCCACATGTAGAAATAAGGCCCAAGCTAGGGTCATCTTACAGTTCGTTATTCAAATGCAGCAGTGAATTAATCGATATCAACTTTAAAAATTTGCGTTGGTATCTACGGCATGTCATTTGCAATCATTTTACCTCTGAAGGCAGAGAAAGATTAACTGCAACTTATTATGAATATTCATTTATCTGGTTAATTTATTCAGATTTATTCTGCAGCGTTCCTACGAGCAGGACACAATGAGAGGCAGATTTGAATCGCTATCTTGTCACAATGTCATTTCATATTTGAAAAGAGCAAGAGATGGTCATTTAACTCACAAATAAAGTGCCAACTAATTAAATCAGACAAGGACAATGAGTTGTGATACTTAAACTCGGATAAAACGGAGAGACTATACGAACATCTCAGAAAGGTCTCTGATAAGACTGAATGGTCAATTCAGCACTACTAAATGAGGTCTCCTTAGGTTATCTTGGATGAATTACTTTACTCTGCTGACACAAACAATACAGAACTGCCAAATCGCTCATATGCGCCATTGTCTGCGGTGGAGCGTGACTTGAAACAGGGCAGCGGTCGCTTTTTTTGAGCACTTCAGTGAAACAGACGACTGAAATCTGCAAAGTTTGTGTTGCAAGGCCAAGGCACTGAGAGTTTTCTTTGCGTGTATTTAAATTCCTACTTAAAACAAATTTGTGTCCTCCCATGTGGCATGGCTTCTAAGACCCAGCAGATGAGATGCATCTGTACGCTAAATAAGGCTCCTTGAGGGCGCGATGAATCTCTGCATGGAGCAAAAACAGAGTGGCTTACATCCAAACGCTAACTCAAGACAGTTATGCAGTATTCCCCTTTTCTTTTTCACACACTACACTAAATAGTACGCTACAAATAAAGAGCCGGCTTAACATCAACACTCTTATTGAAATCAAATAAGTTACTGTTCTGCGCGGGGTACTGACTTATTTTTCCAGTGAGGATTCTGCAGTACAAACAAGAAATGCTCGAAAAAAAGTTTGAACACAAAAGTAAAGCTATGATGAAAAATATTGTGCTTTAAGGCCTCCACATACCCCACAGCCATAGAATGTCATCACTTCGTACTGCACGTGACTGCTGTTGTTGACACGGTTTCCTTTTCTCATGAGACGTCCGTTCGGTTGGTTTAAATGCAGTAAGCCAGCTGTTGACTAATGGTGATTCAAGCAATGTATATTCTCGGTAATAACAGTGCTGGGGAGCCAGTGAAACTTGGCCAATTTAAGCTGCCTTTGAGCGATTTCTGTCTCATACAGTTTCACAAATTGCACCTGCCAATCCCCCAAAATCCAATGCACAAAATGGGCTTTATAAAATGATTGAAATGGGATTCATGAGAATAACATAGATGTAAAAAATATACATTTCTATCGTCACCATTGATAAAAATCACTCATTTTGATCAAATATCAGTTTGTGTGATTTGAGAACTTTCTGCTTTGGCATACTTCCTTTCACTTTTTGAACAGCTCAATGGGGTTTCACTACAGGCTATAATGGCCCATGGGGATATTCTGTCACATTAAAATTATATTGTTATGGTGAACAAAAATCTGCCAAAATCTCCATGATGTCCCTCAAGTTTTTATTTGAGCCACTTCTCTTTTCTCTGCTGGAAACCCCGTGATCAGAGGAAACCCAGACACATCGATCCAAACTGAAAACAAAATGTTTATTGTAAGGCTCTGTATTGAAAATAGGGGTTTACATGGTGGAGTGTTGTCTATAAAAGTCATAAAAACAAAGGAGGGATGTGGCTCCCAGAGCGCTTGGACATTAGTGCAGGAAATGGAACAAGGTCAGAAAATTAAAAGTGCAATTTTCCGGTTCTCATTTTCTTAATTCATTGCAGCTTAAGCTGTTCTCTGCTAAGGCTGGTCGGAAGGAAGGAAGGGGTTTTGGCTTCGGCCAGTGGTCTCTTAGCAATAAAACAAATCCGTTCAAACCAGCATGCTGGTGTCCTTGTGGCATCCTCCCTTTCTTTTTTTTTTTTGAAGAATGAAGGCTTCAAGTTGTAGATGAACACACAATGAACCATGTTAGTTTAGAGCTGCTACTGCTGAGAAAGTGACAATAAATAGCAAGTCTGCTGTTATAATGAAACTCAAAGGATGAATCTGACATTGAGGTTCTTATTTA